TTAGGCTCATTTCCGACTAAACCAAAGTGCAAAAAAGTGAAAATATTGTAAAATATTTTTTTTTAATGCTGACATCTCGTCGGTATGCTACTGTAATGTTCATTTGGATTATTCGTCTTATTGATTAGACGCTCAAGTAAGTGATTCAAGCTTTTCTTCTCACAAGTTTAAAGTTTGTCAATTAAACGAGTGAAAAAAATAGCTTTCAAAACGTGTTAGACGTCATTTTTCTTTAATAAAAAATGGTTTTAAAATTATTACAACTGTCAAATTAAAAAGTTATAGATAAATCGTGAAAAAACTCTCGTTACAGTTTTAAGTGAAAAAGTATTATTTTCATTACGTTTGATAGTTTAAAAAATTAAATATATATATTTTTTAATAAATTTGGTGCAAAGAAATTTGAATTTATATATTAACAATTAATCTTGGATTGGATTATTGCATTCTTTGCAGACAATTTTTTGCTCACTACAAATTAGTTCTGGAATATCTTTAATCCATGATAAAACCAAAGATGTTTTTTCATTCAGAACTTTTTTGAACGCTCACACTGTTAATAAGGCGCTTATAGATACGACAGAATGAATAATTTATCTCGTTCCCTTTGCTAAGTACCTACATACCAATCTCCACTTTTACGCCATTTCTGTAAACAAGATCGTAAAAAGATTAGTTTTGACCATGGAGCAAAGGAATATACTCCTACTGGAGGAAGTGCCAGACTTAAAATGATGGTTTCGAGCCAAACCGGTAAAGTGTCATAAACAGTACCCCTCATTACCCAGATAAGACTGCCGATGACAGTGACGTACAGTTTTTTTTTTTTGATGCGGCTCATGGAATAAAATTTGTTGAATAAAACAACGCACATAACAGATTTATATTCTCTATTAATTAATATTATTTAAAATATTTAAATCAATCAATACATCACGAGTAACAAGTAATACAAACAGTGAATACCGTTAAAAAGTACAAACAACCAGGGTGACGACGCCACTGAGTAGTGGTTATTCGCAATGACGTGACTAATTTTTAGCTTGGGAAGTTTGAAAAGTTTTCACTCGGAAGGCCGACTATTCACTCAGAATTATTTGCCTAATCTGCCGGATGTAGGTGGGCTTCTCCAGCCCATGTTGTAAATTTTTGTAGGATGCAAAGTGCGGAGAAGAATAAAATCAGGTAGCAGCCCGTAGTAGGGTCATTCATGGAAAACTGCGAACCAATTATTTCTTCCTTTTTTTTAGATCTGACTGCCCATTCACAATGGACATAAGGCATAACAAGTACATAAAGCTTACATAAATACATAAAGTTAAAACGATGGAAAACGTGTACCCCTGTTCACAGTGGACGAACATAATTCTTATGCTTATGAACGTTTTATGTAATCCTTGTGTGCGTACACAAAGTTGAAACAAGTTCAACTTTGTGCACGAATTATGTCAAAATCTAGGGACTTTTGAATGCTGCTATTGAATTCCTTTTGACTGTTGGCACTTGGCACTTCACACGTTTGATTATATTATATAAATTATAATAAAAGCTTCACACTGCGAGTTTGTTCTGTACTGCGAGTTGTCAAGTTCGAATATCGTATGAAATTGTAGGTTAGATATTTTGATTGACTCAGTTTGAGGTTAGCCGTTTCTATCTTTAGCCGGGAGTTATTCCGTTCTGCGTTTGCGCAGTTTAACAATTCTTACAGAGTTCACTCTGTCCACTGTGAACGTAGATAAGCATAAGCCAGACACAAACCAAAAACGTAAATTATGTTATGCGCTCGTTCTTATGTCTTATGTCCATTGTGAATGGGCAGTTGAGAGCTGTTTTACACGTTACAGAAATATCTATCGTAAAAGGAATTTTTAGAAATAATTTTCTCGTCATTAATCGGTTGCAAAAGATCAAGAGGCACTCGAAGCAAGCCCTGACAAACTTATTAGCGGCGCCAGCGGAGATCTCCAACTGGCTGCGGTACCACCATGGACACTCGCGTAACCTCTTTTTCCAGAATTGTCAAAATGACATTGCCAAACTCAAAGCAATCATGAATTAAGCATTTCATTTTAAATTCAGTTAGTATCAAGTGGTACATGGTATTCGTATTTTGGGTTGCGTAAAAATTATTTTCAGAAATAATTTTCTCGTGACTAACCCTGTATATGTATTTTTTTACACCCACATATGGTACAACTGAATTTTTCTTCAGTACAATACTAGTCACATAATAATAACTAAAAAATAAGTTTTTAGTTGCATAAGTACCTACATTTCTTAGATTTCCCGGTAACACAAAATTATTTATTTATTTTTATTTTTGCAATATATATTTACAATACACGTAAACCTTTCTCAAACCCTGTAAAAGATCCGTTGCAATTTACAAGGGATTAAAATAAGTATTATATCCGTCCAGTGGAATTTACATTCGCTGCATATGGATACTCTAGATGTACTATTAGTTTATTAGTAAATTTTATTGTTTGGTGATATGTATAAAGACAAGAATAGACAATAGAGGCAATTCTGTATCAAAATGTGTTAAAATTTAAAGGTTGTTAAAAATATGATTTTTTAAATAACTGTAATCTAGTTAAGAACAATAAACACTTGTTTTTATGTTGAGTACTTATTATAATGAAGGTAGTTCCTATAATATAATAGGTAAAATAAGCAACGAGATAAATAGAAACAATCTGTTAAAGAAAAATAACCAAAATGACAATTTATTAATAAAAAATCTTATGTAACAAGGTGTTTACGCTCGTATTTTTTAATTTTTAAAGTGCAACTACAAACTTCGTCACTTATCTATATTCAAATTGTTTTTAATTCGATATTTACACCTTACCTGGTTGCTAAATTTATTGCAACTTAAAATTCAGAATAAAAAATATTTAGTTTTAATAAAAGAAAATACTTCCTGATGAATTTTACCTTGCGATCAATTGACGCTGCGATAAATTTACCTACGATCTATTGTCGCTGCGATCAATTTACGTGCGATCAATTGTCGCTGCAATCAATTGTCGCCGCGATCAATTGTCGCGTGCGACCAATTGTGCTGCGACGAGTTGCTTGCGATCAATTGTCGCGCGATCAATTGTTTGCGACCAGTTGTCGTAGAATCCTTATTTCTGGCCCTCTCTTCACTCTAACATCTAATACTTCTTTACTATGTTCCCTGTTTATTAACATGTAGTCTATGATTGATTTTTCGTTTCTACTACGTAATTCTCGTGTGTACGTGTGTATTTGCTTGTGCTCAAAAGAGGTATTCATAATTAGAAAATTATTGTCCACGCAGAAGTTGATTATTATTTTTACGTTCACATATCTTTTTATTTTCCTTCCCGTACCTTCCCATTACTTCTATTGTCTTGTTGTTTTTACTTCCCACGCTGCCATTTAGGTCCCCCAAAATGATTGTTCGCGCGACCAAATTTTCCACTATGTGTGTTAGTTCATTCCAGAACTCCTCTTTTTTCTCAGTTTTTTCGTCCTCGTTAGGTCCATATGCTATCAATATATTTGTGTTTCCTCTTTCTTCTAATCTCATTACTATTTGTAATATTCTTTCTGAGATAAATCTTCACCGTTCTATGCATTTTCTATGCTGTTCCCCTTCCATTTCCATTACCCCTTGTTTTTTCTTTGTTGTTTCGGTTATACCTAGTATATCTAAGTTCGCTTGCTCAAATTCGGTAATTAATACTGTTTCTTTTCCTGTTATGCTTCTAATATTCCAAGTCGCTTATCAAACCTTTCTTCTTCCTTTTTTTCTCTTTTACGGTTTTTCTTGTCTGTCACTTCAACTGTCCTCATCAGAAAATATGTAATTAATTGTCACAAAGTTTGTCACAATAAAATGATAAGTTTTTACTATGGGGGTATTTCGCTGGTAAATTATCACTATCTTTTAGACTTGATATATAGACTTGAATACAGACTATAGGTAACCATATCAGGTAAAATGATTAAAATCATGGAATTATTTTAATTTTTAATTCGAATGTTTTTACTTCTTTGCATGCTTTTAAAAATTATTATCAGAATTTGTAAAAAGTAATGTGAATTAGGTGTGTACTAAAAAAAATTTGGAAATTCGCAGTAGAAAAACCACGACATAGAAAACACACTAAATATTTGCCGACGCGTTTCGCCAACTACGTTGCTATTATCTAGACATTACCTTCTTTACATGATGTACCTAAAATATGTTCGTTCAAAAATTCGCGCCACTTTAGGCTGCTGTATCAGAATTCTTTCGTTTTAAGGTAAAGTTTTTTAATAGCTGTAGGTGTAATGAATACGATCTTCAGTTTGTTTAGAAATAGTAGGAAGTGAAGGAAAAATAAATTAGGGAAAGTGAGAAAGATTTTTTAAACCTAACAGTAATCTATAAAACACATCACAGTAAAAAAAGCACATATTTAAAGTATAAAATCCCAGTCGAAAATGTCATTCGCTTTCAAACCTATTCTAAATGCAAAATTATTTATACTTTAGTGTCATTTTTATCCGGAATAACAAAGTATGGGTAACAACAAAACGTAACACTAATCGTTTCAGCAAAAAAGTGGGAGTCATGTAAATTATTAGTATTAGAGATTAAAGAATGATCGCATATGCTTGTCAAATACAAATACACTTAAATACACAAACACTCAGGAAGAAATTAAACTTTCTCTGAGTAACACAACCTACTTCTTGATTTCATTCATCAAGCCAATAAATGTACCGAAACTTCGATATAAATTAATTTAAGAAAAAAACCTCGTTTATATTCTATAATAATAGCCTCAAGCAAGGAAAAATCAAATTAAGTAATTTATCCTAAATTATAATCCCCGTTCCCATCGGCGATTTTAATGCAACGATAAGACACGAACCGCATTACATTCAAATGCAGCAAACACAAACTGCATTATACTTAAGGTAAAAAGTGCAACTGCAAACTAGACGTCATAAAATAAACAAAGCAATGCCAAGAACGTTCAGTTACGGCCACGAGGTGATCGCAGAAAACGTAGAGATCGGACAGCAGGAGAACAAGGTGGGCTAGGGGCCACACCATGAATCAACACCGCAGAGTGCAGTTCGCGACTCACTGACACCAGAACAACTGGGAGTTCACCCTCCCAAAAAGCCGAAACTGCGCGAATAAGACAAATTAAAGAAAACTCAGTGAAAAGGACAAACAAAAATCGTTCGGACTGTTACACTGTGCATAAAAATGAATCGTGATTTTGTGTTACTGTGATTAACAATAATTGTGTGATATGATGATGAATATTGTGGTTTTCGGTTTTTTAATTACCCACGTGACTTGTCAGGGGTAAGGAAGTTGTGTGTTTGAGGAGAGTGCAGGGTGTATTCTAAGAATAGATATTATCTGCGAACGATTCGAAATGCCGCAAAAAGTTGAAAATACCGTTTCTAAACAGCTCGATGATGTCATGAATTCGCCAAAATGTTTTACTTGTAATCAAATAAGTCCTGCATCAAGGACAAAGCGGAAGGAAGATATTTCGCAAACTTTCAAGTTTTAATATTTGGTTTAGTGTGGCTTTTTTGGTGTGACCTTAGCTCACATTATGCGGTTACTTAGCTTAAGGATATGCAAAAAATTAACGAGTTTGAAGCGCAAATACACACAAGTTGCATTAATTAAAATAAGATTAACTGTTAATGTTATTTTTAATTTTTAGTCTGTAATTAGTCAGTGAGTAGAGGATAACGTCATTGTCATATATTCACCTCAAGGATTCTTACTTTTATTGTTGCTCTAGCCGACAATTGAAAAAGTCATTGCCTGCACAAGGTTATAGTGCACGATGCAACATGATGTTTTAAACAACTAATTAAAATTACAAACGAAACGAACAATTTTAATTAAAATTTATTGGCTAAAAATATCGACGGTTTTTGCAGTAGAAGCATTCAGCCGAGACATAAACACTTTTTTGAAAGCTACACGGTTTTCCTAATATGGTTGTGATGAGTAAAATTAAATGATTTCCCTGTGAGGAACTGTTACGCACTTTTACAGCGTCAGTTTCACTTTCCTTATGTGTCACACATCTCGAAACTGTGATGTAAAAAGTGCGTGAGCGAAATCCTTAAGCCCACGGTTTCTTAGTATACTTCCATGAACAAAGAACCTGTTGAATAAACATTCTGAACGACCGTTTTCCTAATATCAGGTTTTCGTGACATTTATAAAAAATGGAAAGGTCCTTTGAAACAGAGAAACCGAATCTATAATTTTAATTATTTTGCCACAAATATAAAAGTGCTAATCGTTGACGAATTGAGTCACATCCTCAATCTTCAGTTTTTGCTTTTTAATGACAAGCTTTTAGCATGTCAGTAATCGCTAATACGTTAACAACACAATTATTATATTTAAATTTTGCGCAGGCTATCATTATAAAACGAAAAAAAAGTAAAGCTATAATTAAGCGCAATTACAGAACCTCATCTGAAGTCACAATAATTTACGAGCGTAGACCTTGCGAAAAAACGTTTCTTTGTTTATTGTCGATTGTTCACGGTATCGTTCGTTGAACCAGACGGAAAAGTGTCAAAATGTACCAGTAACCAGTACCAAACAAGCTACTACTTAAACTATTATTTAAATAGTGACGACATTTTTTGCGAATTGTTGCCAAGCCGAAAATGGAAAGACCTGTCTTATTTATTAATCGTCCAACACACCCACAGACAAAAAGCACCATTTTAATGGTTCGAATTCTCACCAACGTGAAAGTAACTCATTGCATGACCCATGATACATTTCCATTTTTTGCTTCCACGAATAATTGTGGTTATTTAAACCGGTGCACCATTGTAATATAATACATGCAAAATTACTCGCGAATGAATTTCCGGAAACTTTTGCAAGTGAACTGGTTCATTAAGGAACAAAATTTTACTTTCTCTGTGGTATGATTAATTTACGATCGAATTAACCCGTTTTTTAGAAAGTACCATGACTTACAGCGTGTCTTTGCAAAATTACATTGTTGTAATACAGCTCTCTAAATATTTTGCCCACGATGTGATTTTTGGTATTGTGTGTAGGTTCTACAAGGTCGTTGGGCCAAGAGCAGTCCGCCCAAACAGCGAATACCATGTAGCTGTTTCTGTCCAGCAAACATCAGAGCCCACCAGAATCAAAGCCGTCCTTCAGGGTGTTTCCCCCAATGGGTCGATTTACACCAGCGAGGATCGCGCAGAAGTCCAACCCTACACTTCCAGAATATGCAGACTCGAAGTTGGGGATGTGGAATACGCAGACTACAAACTTGTGGTGTCGGGGCAAGGAGGAGTTGAGTTTTATTCTGACTACCCGGTAGAATTTATGGACAAAAGTTATTCCGTGTTTATACAAACAGACCGTGCTGTTTATAAACCCGGCATGAAAATTTTGTTCAGAGCGGTTGTGTTAAATGCACACTTAAAACCGGCAGCCGAAGTCCGAAATGAGCTTCTTCACATTTTTGTTTCGGTTAGTATTCCACGATTATTTGTTGCGTGTGTAATAATTTTTGCTTAGGATGGGGAAGGTAACACCGTAAAAGAGTGGAAACGCATTCAAGCTCTCCGTGGTGTTTTCACCGGAGAAATCGGGCTAAGCGAAAGTCCAGTTTTGGGCAACTGGAATATTTCGGTAACGGTTCATGGGCAAACCTTCAGCAAATCTGTGGAAGTTGCGGAGTATATAGTACCGAAATTTATGGTCAATATTCAGGCACCCAAACACATGACTTTCAAAGAAAATGTATTGACTGTGAATGTACAAACACAGTGAGTAGATAATTCAGTGGTACTGGCTTATAAAATTCGGATCCTAGCATTTGCCAAAATAATTCTCAAAATATGTTTATTTTGAAATGATTGCGCTAAAATTCAAAATCCAAGATATAGCTTTTCATCGGAACATAACTTCAAAGTGTGTATGTTATAAAATTTCTGAAGTCTTTGGAGTAATATTTACGTAATAGACCGCAAAGGTAACATACATAAATGAGAGCATAATTGATTTTGTAATGTATTTAGATTTGTATGTTTTGCAATTCTACATCTTTTTCCATCCGTTACAGCTTAAAGATTCAATGAACACAATTTTTGCTGTGAAGTACAAAATATGTGATTCCATTGCACTCTTTAAGAGAATTATTTCCGGAATTATGTGGTCAATAAATAGATTCTTTAGAATAATTAATGGAATAATTTTGCACCCAGTGGAATTCACTGGAGCTCACAGAATCAAATTTGGGCTTCAAAATAACAAGAAATGTTAGTTTTATTTCGTCATATCGTTCATTATTTATATATATTTTAATTTTATTATAGCAAGACTTGTGTTTGTTGTGGAAATAAGTTGTTTAACATAGTGAAAGGAATTCACAGAAGTATATTAATAACAATCTTAATAGTTATGTTACAAGTTCCCAAACGGAGGAATATACATTTTTTCTGAAGTCTCATAAAAAATTATGACTTTATTTATATCAATAAATATTGTTGATCTAAATATTATAACTAAACGTTAAATGTTAAAGGTGTATTCGACAATCATTTGTATTTAAATTGAATCTTAACATTTCAACTCAACTGAAGTTTTCTATTCATAAGGTCGAAAATATTTTCTTTTTTAAATAATAATCACTATATTTTTTCCCGACTATACATGCTTTAACATTTTTTGTTGGTGGCGATATATTCCATATACGATCAAATCTCTCTGTGTTTTGCTATTTTAATTTTCGTACAAATTTGTGTTCATTTTGTGCTCTGAAGGTTTTCAAGTTTTAACAACTTTATTTATTTATTTTAGAAGAGGTATGTTTTAAATGTTAAAAATATAGCTCGTACATCAATGTCAACTAGTTCACTTTTTTATTAAACGCAAAATTTTCTCAATTATGTTCTAAAAGCGAAAGTAATTTTTTTTCAAATTTTTAATTTACCTAACTTAATCGTAAAATCTTAAGGCAATAATTTTTTAAAAAAATTTTAATGTACATATATTACACAAAGTACATCCATAAGTGGGCACTTCTCGATATCTCATTGATAGAAAAAAATCAACAACCGATAAATTTGACGGTTTACTGAGGTGCATAAGCTAAAATAATTATTTTCAACTAAATACATAAAATGTTCTGTAGATTTTTTAATAGGTATATCGTTTTACAGATTTTTTTATCCCTTCTGGTTGGTCTCTTCTTAGACTTTACAAGCACATTTATTTTATTTTTGAAACTCCGATGCGAGTTGCTAAATTATTTCAAGTTTATTGGATTTTTTTTTTAAGTAGCCATTTTACTGATAAACCCTAGTACAATACTTCCTTAGCTTACGCTTGGGAAGTAAAAATCTCTATGCATCAATTTTTTCGAAAACTATGTCTTTATTTTTAATTTTGTCTGTCCGCCTGTATGTCGTCTTTTTGTTGTCATCCCCTCTAACAATTTCATGACGTCATGTCAAAATTTTGCGTAAATGTTATTTAAATTTCATAAAATAACATACTCCTATCCTCGTAATTAATGAATCTGCCTTTATTTTTTACCTTAGATTTAAAATTATTAGCAGCATAAACGAACGCAGAATTTTATACGAATGCCGTATTTTATGAACGTACCTTGTAAATTTTGAACACTATACTTTTAAGTTTGAATACAATTCAATACAGAGGAACCTCGTAGTATTTAAAGTTTGACGTCGTACCTAAACTAAAGGCATAATTTTAATTTTATTATAGCAAGTTTGTAAATTCAGAAGCCTGTACTTTTAATTAAGAATGGTTTATACAGGGCGTATCCAAAAAATTTATGGATGGAGCAATTTATTTTATTGATCAAATCAAAAGCGGTTCACCCCCTTTTTTCCGAAAATCTGAAAATACAGTACTATTATTATTAGTATCTAAAGTTGAAGTATCGAAATAAAATTATGACTTTTTATTTAAAAAAAGAAGAAAAAATATGAGTACTTGAAAATTATAATATTTTAGATTTCTTGATATAAACACTGTGTACAAAAAGCATATACTTGTCTATTTATCTCTAAAATATATATCGCAACATAGGTTTTAAAGATATTGTTTATGAATCTTTGCATTGTCGAAAAAATTAAAAAAAAAATAACTAGAGGAACTTGATGATGTTGCATTCAAAAATAAAACATGTTTGTAAAATCTAAAAAGATGTCAATGAGGGGTTGTAAAACTATGTAGAATGTTCTATTAAAAAAACTAACTAGTTTGTATAAGATTCAGTATTACTATACAGGATGATTCAGAGCACTACTGAATAATTTTAATGACGAAGTATATGGCAAAAAATAAGCAAATAAAGCTAAGGAGAGCATGATCAGTTTTTTAAAATATGGCTATAAAAGGATCTTAAAATTTCGAGAATGATCAAAATTATTTTCCATCGTAGTTAATTTATTAGAAAACAATTTTTATTGTAACACCTTAGTAGCAGTTCTTTCAATTTTTAGAGGTTACTAAAGAAATACGTAGGCAATAATGGCATTTCCAAGGCACCTCAGTTGTAACAATCAAGAAAATCATGTTTTTTGAAGTATTCAAGAATTTTTTTGCTAATATCACTAACTATGTAAATAGTTTTGACAATGTCGAAAATTTAAAAATTCTGTACCTTCTCTATTTTTAAGAAATGATCATAGTTTTACTGGAACTCTTTACTTATTTTTTGCCATATAATTTGTCATTAAAATTATGCACTAGTGGTCAGAATCACCCTGCATAATTGAAAATAATTTTGACTTATGTTATGATGTTGTGTGTGTACAACTTTGGTGTTTGATTTTTTTATCTTCAACACTTAATGAGATATCAAAAAAGGCGATCTTACTAATTCACCTAGTATACTAACCAACAGGTTTTAACAATTCTGCCAACAACAAAAAAAAAGTACAAAATATAGGGCAATAATTCAGAAAAATAAAAATACTTTGATTCTGAATATTGTAAGTGCCTACAACAAAAATCAAGCATGTCCTCGAAATAGTTTTTTTTTTACGGATTTACATACTTTTTATATCTGTAAAGAAAGACTCAAAAATGAAGCAATTTACGGTTTTTGTAAAATTTTATTTATTGTCAAAATTGAAAGTCAATTTACAAACATGTTAAAATTGCATTCTTAAGAAAAACCTCTCTTGGAAAAACCAAAGCCAACATCTGTTTCATAACCTAACTCATTATCATTACAACACTCATTCCTCATCAATTTTACTGCAAAATTTATTCGCAGTCAATAATTATACAGTAGTACTTTAATGAAGTGAAATTTGATTTTTTTGTGCAATATCCTTTTTGCACGCTAACGACTCCTCCATACAACCTTCAGCCATGTTGCTGAACTTCTACCCACCAATCCATAAACCTACAATACGAAGGTTCATAAACAACGACTGACGTCGTTGGAAAACTGTCAATGGTGGCCTTCGTGTCGAGTACTTCAGGAGGCGTAAAATGTAGCATAACTAGTAGCTACATTTCGACATACATACTTAATACCATGACGCAAATAAGCTTTCAGATCTTAGGTTTAACATCTTTTGAGTTTGAGTGATTTTTGAAAATGACAATTTCTCAACAATGCGAAAATGCCAATTATTGGATAGTATAGTTTTTGGCTTGTCCATCAGCAAATGCTAAGATCAGTTCGAACCCAGCCCAAAACCCACACCAAAATTTCCAACGAAACTTTTAGATACAACTATGGCAAAAAAGTTAAAGGAGAAGCTACAATTACGGTTTACCCAACAATCTTCTCCGGCGTTATTCAACCCATTTTCCAAAACCCCCTCCGCAAAGTAATACCCATCGAAGGTTCATCCACCGTCCAGTTCGATATCGAAAAAGAGCTGAAATTAAGTGACGAATACGAAAGAGTTGTAGTGGTGGATGTCGCCGTGGAAGAAGCTTCAACCGGTCGTCGACAAAACAATTCCGTCGAAGTCCACTTGCACAAGTACGACTACAAAATGGACCTCATTAAAACCGCCGACTACTTCAAACCCGGTCTAAAATACACAGCCTATGTAAACAATCGCCTAATTATAATTCTAAAACAATGACTCCGAAAATTGTAGGTCAAAGTATCCAACCATGACGGATCTCCTATAAGAACCGACCAAAAACAAATTACTGTTAGACATGGATATTCACGAGCTGATGAAGTCTACGTAGAGGAAAAGCATAAGTTAGACAAAAATGGTATTGTTAAACTTGAATACAACACGCCGACAAATGTTTCAAACACCACCGCTCTTAGAATTGAGGTAACAATAGCAATTATCACAACTGTTCCTTTAGAAAGTATTGCAGGCTGAATACGAAGGTTTGAAAGAGAGAATTTCACCTATACCGGCAGCTGTTTCTTACAGCAACACTTTCCTTCAAGCATCTATTGAAACCGAAAGACCGATAGTTAATTTAGATGTGGAGATTTTAGTTAATTGTACTGAACCTCTTAAATACGTTAGTTACGTTTTGCTGGGGAGAGGTGATGTTCTCAACGCCAACACGTTCCAAGTTGATAATATGCATGAATATCGGTTCCACTTTACTGCAACTCGAGCTATGGTACCAGTGGCCCATCTCATAGTGTCTTACGTTCGTGAAGACGGAGAATTAATTGGTGACTCTCTCGATATTGAAGTTGACGGTCTTTTGCAAAATTTCGTAGGAGTATTGACAATTAGTTACAAACTATGGTTAAATTTTGCTTTGTAGATGGAAGTCCAAGTGAATCCCGTTGAAACTTTACCTTCTCTAGATATAGATATCACTATACGAGCGCAGCCAAATTCTTACGTAGCTTTAATGGCGGTGGATCAAAATGCGGTTCATTTAAGATCAGGTTTTGACATCACCCACAACCAAGTCGCCGACGAATTAAAGAAATTTGACGTTGCTGAGCAGTCACCGTACTCTTTAATCATGCAGGATTCAAAATATCACTTCTTTTGGAAACCCGGAGCAGCCAATCCACACAGTGCTATCTATGTATGTACACTGATATCCAACCTCTAGGCAGACTCTAATTTAGTAACTTCCAGAGTTCAGGAGCTGATCTCCTCACCAACTCACACATCTATAGACACAAACCAACACGTATGTTCATACTTTTTTGCTTGTTAAATGTACGAGAACTGTGTTTTAGTGGAAGATATTTATTTGCGACCTCTATTTTACGGTACTAGCACTGTTAAGCCTGACAGAGGCTTCGGTCTTCCTCTTCACACCGTCACCAGACCTCCTCTAGCAGGACCTTATGCTTTCAGCAGGATACCAAAGCCGGTTTGGAATAAACCCAAAGTCTACTTAACTGAAGAAATCGCCGATACTTGGCTTTTCACAAATTTCTCGTCTGGATTCGAAGGAAAAACGTCTATTCGACGAAAAGTACCCAGTTCTTTGAACACCTGGGTTGTCACAGGATTCTCCTTAGATCCCATCCATGGATTAGGCTTGAGCACAACTCCCAAAAAAGTGAAAGTTTCTAAAAGCTTTGTCGTAACTTTGGATTTACCATTTTCTGTACAACGAGGAGAGATTTTAGCTGTACCTGTTGTGGTTTACAACTACATCGACAAAGACGTGGTTGCAGAAGTCACCCTTCATAATCCGGAACAGAAGTTTGAATTTGCGGAAGTCTCTAATAGTGCTAACGCCACCAAAAGTAAGAATTTCTGATATTTAGATCTAGTGAAAATTTTTGATTTTCAGAAATTGAGTTGTATCGAAGGAAAAAAATCACACTGAAGAAAAACAGTGGTGCTTCAGTTTCCTTTATGATAAGACCACACAAACAGGATTTGATTGAAATTAAAGTCACCGCGAATAGCCCCAAGAACCAAGATGTAGCCATTAAGAATCTTTTGGTCACTGTAAGTCAGTTTTTAAGATTTAGGTAATGATTAACTATTGTATTTTTTTCTAGACTGAAGGCGAGATGGAATATTACACTAAAACAGTGCTTGTTGACTTACGAAACAATCAAAACTACAAAGAAACCATCAATTTCACGATTCCTTCTAACGCGGTTAGCGGATCCGAAAAAATCGAAGTTTCGGCAGTTGGCGATCTGCTAGGACCCACCATGGTCAATCTAGAAAACCTAATTCGACTCCCCACTGGGTGTGGTGAACAAAACATGATTCACCTCATGCCAAATTTGATTATTTTGCAATATTTGCGATACACGAGACAGATCACACCTACAATCCAGAACGAAGCGCTAGATCAGCTTGAAAAGGGATACCAGCAACAACTAAGTTTTAAAAGACCGGATGGTTCCTTCAGTGCTTTTGGAACACGAGACGCAAATGGCAGCATCTGGTATGTCTTAACTGTCGAAAATTTTCCTTATAACGTAACTGTATTTGTTGCAGGCTCACCGCATACGCTGCTTTAACGCTAAAGCAAGCCAAAGGTCACATTTACGTCGACGAAAAAATCATCGAAGGTTGTTTAGAATGGCTGGCGAATATTCAAGGCAGGAACGGTAGTTTTGTGGAGGTCGGGTCGATCATTTACCGAGAGTTGCAAGATCGCAATGGGAACAGTTTGGCGCTTACTGCGTTTACTCTTTTGGCGTTCATCGAAAACCAGGTGATTTTTTACAAACTTACTAAATTTGAACTTTGAATACTTAGTATTTGAGACAAAGGTTAACCTTTTGCGGCTGCATAAACATGTACGGAGTAGTGGTGCAAAATTCACAAAATTTATTTGTGCAAAAATTGTGTTTAATGTCAAAAATCAATTATCAGTACAAATTAGAAGCTTTATTGTCCAATATACATGTATGCGGTTCTCTTTCCCAAAAATTAATAACATCATCTTACAATTTGGCCGAATAAATGTTAAATTTGAGAAAATATCAGACTCCTGCACCTGTGGTTTATCAATCCGTGTTCGGTTTTTAATCTAGACATCCAGATTTTCGGGAAAAAAATCAAAATTGCTTCACATTTTACAATTTTACTTTGAAGGTGTAAACTGGATGTTTCGAAATCTTGCAAACGAGTTAAGGTTATCGTCAGCATACGAATTCGCTAATTAAACTTTATCTCCCCCTCTCCCCAAATTGATGACGTCATCGCTAAATTTTATCCGGTACATCCCATCAAAAATGTGCAAACATCTATGAGCCTATATTTGTAGTTTATTAGTCCATTCATATACTTCAGGGACGAGGGAAATTTTGCCAAAATAACCCTAGATCAATTTTTTATTAAGAACCTATAGTATAACACACTTCTTTTCCTACAATTTAGTAAGTTATTCCTATTTTAATTTTAACATTTTTGCTAAATCACGTAAAACGGACCACAATAAGAAAATTTTAGTTGCGCATTTCCGTAAAAAATATGACGTATTTTAAAATTTGATAAAGAAATATTTATTACAGCTATGAGTTGCAAAGCAGTCTCATTTGTATGTAGGTACTTTGGCAACGTAAAAAAAAATAAATACGTATGAAGAGACTTCGTACAATTCTGTAAAATAATGACATGATGATTAAGACTACAATGTAGGTATATATCAAATTTTGTTAATTTGTCCCTCCAAAAAATTTATGCCGTCATCTGCTTATATTTCAGTAATCTTCTTTAATATTTACTTCTTGAATGTCTCGTAAAAGTATTTCCGTATATTTGTCCATATCCTGTCACCTGGCTGTCTGTTGGAGATTTTTTTATTTGAGTAAAGAAGACGACAAAAAAATATTATGTATGAATCGACTAATTTTATTGATTACTTAACGGTTTTTCTTCAATTTTTGAACTTTTGATAATTAAGATTACATTGTGTAGACTTCCCTCAGTTCCCTCATCTCTGAAGTACAGTCCAACAAATGCCGTTTCTAATAATCCATAAATACTGTTTGATAAGGTGTACTTCTTATCAAAAATTTGAGGTGACGTCATCACAATATTAGTGGGGATGACTAGACAAATTTTAGTAAGCGTTTTACCATACGTAAAAATTTGACAACAATCGACCCAGTAATTTCGGAGATTACCTGTGTAATAAAAGTCGACATAGACAAACAGACGACAGACAGACGGAAATTGGGGACTTATTTTTTCGTACTGTAGGTGTGAAACGTCGAGAAACCTTAAAAATAGTTATTCGTTAGACGGTCCCTATTACAATACTTCCTTAGCTTATCCTCAGGAAGTAAAAATTGGTCTCATGTTATTGGACAGCCTCTGAAGTACAATCAAACAAATCTAGCTTTTCAGAAAAAAAATAGGTATAGTCGTTGCGATCAACTAACAAAATAGAACCCTACATTGTGTTTGTTTTTTTTTTGTGGCGGAATGCGTTCACATGCAAAGGAGTGGACCTCAAGGTTGGAAAAGTACCCCTAAATAAAACGCAAAATATATGGAGGACACAAAATTACTTATTCCTCCACTGACAAAAAAAAAAGAAAAAAAAAGCTAAGACTAAGTTGCGTAGGTTGAAGACCTCTTATTTCTCAGCTACAAAAAAAAACTCGCCTAACTTGTCGCTATAAGAGTGTGGCGATCAAGCTATATTAATTTCATTCTAGAGCACAGCAAAATTACCCACAGGGGGCGTTGTAGCACGATCGGAGTTTGGTGCTCCTGGTTGTGGTTGTTTCGTTTCTACTCTATTGGCAAGCACATGCCGCCCAGAAACCTTCTATTTAACGAAGAAACGTGTCGCGCTGACAGGCCGTTACGGTCGCAAACTCGTGATTGGAAATCCCGGCTATTGGGACAAACCGCGAGCGTCACGTCATTCCGACCGCTCCCCTGAGTTCTATTCAAGATCTGCGTCTTTTGTACAGATGCTGCGACGGCCAGCTCGACAAGGAACCGCACACTCCGCTTCCGCCACGTGTTTCGGTGTTATTTACCTCAATTCCATGTAAATGTTCAATTTCTATGACTCTGATATTAAATTACAAGCGAACAAGTGTTAAAGTTTCAAAAAGAGCAATAAACAACATTCAAATTCGCCATACACTCTCGTGAAATTTTAAACAGCAAAGAATTTTCATCTGAGATTTAAGATTGGACATCCGACAATTTATACGATGGAAGCATTAATCAACAAAATATTTACGTGGTCAAAAAACTAGTCAAGATTTATAAAAACAACAAAGATCTGGTGTGAAATAAAACTTGTTCAAACAAAAAAAAAAAAATACGTGAGGTTAGGAACTGCAGAGTATGAAAAGTTACGTTCAATTTAAATGATACAGCAAAGAAAATTACTGAGGCTAAAATTATGAGGTAGAAAAAAAATTGCATGAAGTGAAAAATTGCAAATCTAACAAAATTACATGAGGTTAATATTTGCCACACTTTATCAACGAATCAAACAAAGAATTTACATGATGTTCAATTATGCCACATTTTATCAAGATTCAAACAAAAATTTACATGATGTTAAATTATGCCACACTTTATCAACGATTCAAATAAAGAATACACATGATGTTATATTATGCCATGATCCAAGTGACTGGTTGCTTAAAACAATTAGCTTTGAGAGTTTATATCGTGGACTGTCCCCAGCTTATCCCAAACAAACACATGATAAATAAACACAAAATGCATCCCTCGTCGCGAGGATTACGTCTCGGTGGTGTAATTTCCCACGTCGCGAGAAATACGTCTGGATGATGTTCGGATTTTCGACGGGAACGCCACTTACAGGTTAAGAAAAAAATGGCCTACGGGGGATCGAACCAGTGTTATTAGCACTACGCTCTAACGGACTGAGTCAACGAATGGTTGCTGGACGTTCTTCTTATATTACCATAAAACAATTTTTAATTTGTTTGTAAAAATCTAATACCGAAGATAAAAACTCAAGGCCTAGTCATAAACCACAAGTACAGGAGTATACTATTCTATAAAATTTAAATACCATTTACCAGACAAAATTTTGATGTGGCGTTATCAAATTATTGGTGGGAATAATAAGGCAGATTTTGTCACTTCCTAAAAAAATTGATAATTTTTTTACAAAATACCTCCTGACATGCATCTGGGACCATTATGTTCCAGAGGAACGGGCAGTTCTGTATAAATTCTTTTACAGATTTTTTTATTCAAAATGACATTTTTGATACTTTTTGAAAAATACACCAGCCATAAATTCCAAAGCATGATATAGTTTATCATATAGATACTTTTTACTTGCTGAGTGTAAGCTACAGAAATATTGTAATAACGTTCATTTGAAGAATGGTTAAGGTGATCTTTTTTCGACGTTTCATAGCTCCTGGAATATGAAAAAGTAGATCTCCCGTTTCCGCTTGTCTGTCGGCGATTTTATCAGACACACGTATTCTCGGAAACTACCAAACTGATTGTTGTGAAATTTTAGATGTATTTTTAAAATATCATATAAATGGTAAAATGACACCCAAAATTTGTCTGTTCACCCCTAACACAAATGTGATGATGTCATCTTAAAAGCTTACCAAATAAATCCAATCTAAAATGTACGAAATATGCTTTTATACCTATGATTTACTAATATTTTTAAAATTGTTCCTATAGGTTTTGAAAACAATACATTACAAAATTTTGCAATTTATTTTAGAAACTATACATAGTCGATTCCTTGTGAGCTTTGTTTAACAATACAGAAAGGTTATATTGGAGACAGTAAATCGATAATTAAAATTTATCTATTATCCCTTCCAAAAGCTTGATGACGTCATTCCAAGATTTTGCAACGCCAATCTTCATTGAACTTCTGTTATTTAAAAAAAAAATCTGTATGGATTACAGATGTCATTAATTTTTCTTACCAACATCATTCAGTCATCATCATCAATTTAACTATAATCGTTTTATAATTCACCTTAAATTGTTATTTCTATTTTCCAGAAATATGCTCAAAATTACGTCAACACCGTCAACAAAGGCCTCGATTACATAGCCCGAAACATCGACGAACAAGAATCCATCTACACCATAGCCCTCTGCAGCTACGTACTGCAAGTAGCCCGACACCCCTCTAAACAAAGCGCCTTCAATTTACTAGACGGCCGTTCTAAAACCAGCGATAACCAAAAATGGTGGGCTAAGGACGTCCCCAACAACGAAAGTAAAAACCCTTGGACCAAGCTTCCCAGGTCCATAGACATAGAAACGTCAGCTTACGGACTGCTGACATTCCTCGAAGCCAACTACTTCGAAGACGCAATCCCCGTTCTAAACTGGCTAGTAGACCAACAAAACAGCATCGGAGGCTTCACGTCATCGCAAGACACTTCAGTAGGTTTATACGCAATTTACAAACTAGTGCTGAAATTAGCAACCAACGTCAACATGCAAATTGAATTGACATATGGCGAAGAACAACGCCACAACTTCAATGTTAACAAAAATAACGCCATGATTGTTCAAAAGCTAGAATTGCCTAGAGCCTCGCGGGAAGTTAATGTGACGGCACAAGGACGTGGTTTAGCACTTTTCAGAGTTTCATATCAGTATAACATGAACGTCACTGGACCTTGGCCTATGTTTACTTTGGACCCGCAAGTCGACAAAAATTCTAACAAGGATCATTTACAAATTTCTATATGTACAGGGTAAAAAATACGGAAACATTACTAATTTTTCCAGTGTTAACATTTCATTTCCAGCTTCGTCAGTCGTAATTTAAGTGTAAGCCCGGAAAGCAATATGGCCGTCATGGAAGTGAATTTACCCTCCGGATTCACCGCAGATGTCGACTCTTTACCGAGTTTAGAAGTCTCACAAAACGTCCAAAAAGTCGAAACGAAAAATTCTTTAACCAAAATTGTTCTCTACTTTAATAACATCACTAGTTTGTACGAGTATTGTCCGACAATTTCAGCTTTCAGGACGCATAAAGTGGCTAAGCAAAAACCTGTTGCTGTTGTAATTTATGACTACTATGATAGCTGTAAGTTACAACGAATTATCATAAATTTGGTTTTGAGTAACAATGTTTCAGCTAAACGAGCAAGACTGTTTTACAAAGGACGAACATCTACATTATGCGATATATGTGAGGACGAGGATTGTGGTGACGTCTGTAGAGCAGAGGCGAATCCTCAAGTTGCTGCTGGTTTAAATGGAGACAGTAAAAGCAGTTCATCGTGTTTACCATTTAGTTGGGCAACTTTCATAATTGCCATTTTCGCCATTCATTATTATTAAGTAAATAATTGTGTATAAAAATTTGTGATCTTCATCTTGTGGTGGGATTAACGGGGTTATAATGGAACTTATTAACTAAAGATTAGTATTTAAAAAAATGAGTTTTGACATCTTTTTGTTGATAAGTTCCACATTTGCAAGTGCACAGAGTGAGTCGAAAATGTTTAACTTTCAGATTTTAGTAGATCCAGATTCATTTTAAAAGAGACAGAGAATTTAATGCTTTACTATAAAGTGACTCACTGTGTATACTTTAAAACACATGTACAAAATATGTAAAATTTAATCAACACAGTAAATTAAATGTAGGAACATCACAATGTAAAAGTTGACGGTTTTTTTCGTATAATTTATTATAAAGAAACCATTTATCAAACATGTAGTCTTATCATTAGAAAACAAATTTTGGCTGCTCACCTATAGACTATTAGACTAGTTTGTTAGTTGTGAAGTAATAAAGATAATTACTTAGGAGTGCTAATAATTCGTTAATCATCATTATTGCTTATTTTGTACATTTGTTTAAACATATGTAACAAACGGCGATAACAATTACGTGTCGTTACAAATAAATACGTTACTAATACTACTAGTCACACGTCTCAGTAATTTTTATTGTAAGAAAGCAAAATATGACTGATTTTGAAAGGTAAAGTGATAAAAACAAAATCACACTGTTTGCTTTTTATTTTATAAAAAACTAGTCTTTGGATATGAAAAAAAACACACTAATACCACAATAAAAATTCACAACTAGCGAACACTTTTATTTCACTCGCTTGTTCTTCTAGTCCATATCCCAACAACTTTATTCTTCAATTTAACTATAAAGTGCTCATTATCCTTAACAATTAAAATTAATCTTTTAGTAGTAATGTTATGCAAAGGTCCAAACGCCAATGCTACTACCGTACAAGCTAGACAAATTACGTTGTACGGCATACTAAAATCGGGCGTAGGCAACGTGATCACCGTACTTTCTGTCCTCATTTGAACTAAATAACCACTTCTTGAGGCATTAAAACTATCAGAAATCGTGGAGCTATCTTGTGGCAAACCGGTGTAATTTCGAGCCAACGGCAAAATCGTCGAAACTACCGCAGAACCAATATAAAACCCGTGATTAGCATCTGGTGGGTACTCCTGCCATTTTAAAAATACGTAATCGAAATCTATTGAAAGTGATGTGATGGAGCGAGCAGGCAGCTTAACGAGTACTTCGAGGTGGTAAGGTCGCTCCCTCTGGCGGCCGGGAATGTAGTGAATTCGAGTGGGTTCTATCCTAACACCGCCAGCGTCGATTTTTAAAGTGTGGAGATAAATAGGCACATACCATGGAATGTTCTGAAGAAATACAACATCTAAAGGGCTCCAGTGGTTGTTGTAGATCGTTGTAACAATTCCTCCTCGTTCTTGACCATAACCTGTTATGTACTGATTGGCATAGATCGCCGGAGGAGAGTTTAAGACCACTTTATTCTTTCCTAAATAGTTTGCGTTGAGACTCATCACGTAAGATTGTACGTCATATTTTGCGTACGTATGAACGTATCCGCCGCGAAATGAGGTGACGTATTCATCAGGATCTGGTTTTAGTTGGAATGGAACACTTTCATTGTTGGTGGTATCCACATAAATGGTGGCGGTTTCCGCCAAAACGCATCGTCCTATTACACCTTGTCCGAACAATTTTCTAAAGGACCAGTGTTTTGCTTCCAAAATTAGGAGATCGTAAACTAGGGAAACGGACTGTTGCAATTCTAAAGAGACGGATTCACACGAACTGTCACGGCAGATTGGACGCATGTGAATTGCCATGGAATGGTAGCGGGTGTTGTAAATGTGACCTGCATTTAGTAAAGACCCTAAACCTTGTTTTGCTTCGCAAGGGAGCAGTTTCTTCAATGGTGTTAAATTTTCTGTGCAAACAATTTCACGTGGAAGACTGGAATATCTACAATTCATACATAAAAAATTAAAGATGTGTTTTCATATAAATTTATTGTTACCTGACGAAAGTTGAGTTTATGGTAGGAGAAGAAACTGCCCCTCTAGGCTTAAAAGTGTACTCTGGATTTATGCTGTTGGTTTTATCTATGAAGTTTAAACTTGCACACAGTAAGCCAGATAGTGAGCTCGCTAATTCCTTCCAGTTTTTATCAACGTTCTCGGTATCTTCTTTAAACCAAACCCATAATTCAGCTCCTGGTGCTGCATCCATTATGGGGTAACCCCACGTTTCATACATCCACAGGCCAGCGGTTAAACTTACGTGCAATTCCTGTACATTGTAACGTGCGACTATTTCACCTAGTGCTCGGGGGAACATGTGAGTGTGTCGAACTACAACATGACAATCAAAATATTTTACTAGAATGATTTTCTACACTCACATGATTCTTGTTCTGGGTCTGTATCCCATTTTGTTGCAAACTGAAAGTGGGCATATAAATGATCGTTGCCCAGGGGTTTTAGGAGCAGTTCTTCGGAAAATGTATCGAATGCATAGGTTAAAACGGCTAATGGAACAACTAATAAAAATGTGGTCAACGTTGAATGAAACATGTTTCAAATTTACAATTCCGATTCATTAGACAATTCGACAATACCAACCGCTAACACCACACAAAAATATATTTATGTATCACCAACTCATTTTTTCGGCATTTTATTCACTGACTGACGTTAAAAACTTCAGACATTTTTTGACAGCTGACAAAAAGTGACAGTGTGGAAGCGTGGAACTAAAGTAAAGGAGGTCATACACGAATGGTTTTATTACATGTACTTGGAATGTCACACACGGACACACGTGAATAATATGTACTGTCAAAAAGCCGACTGATTAATTATATTCGTGGAATATCTTGACCTTGTAGAGTTTTCTATGATTCTAATGTTTATTTATTAGCTTATCCTCTCCACAGTTATACAGGGTGTATATTCTACGAGCGTTTTAAAAATTTAAGGGAATTTCAAGCATTACAATTTTCCAGTGTAGTTAATAGAGATCATAGTCTGTGTCATAGTGGTCAAACACTTTTTTTTAATTTTATTGTAAAATTTCAAGTATAAGGAATTCACGTTCGGTAGATGTAACTAGATTTGGTAACTTTTTTTTTAAGCTGTGTAACTGCGGACATAATTGTTCTAGTGTATAATGTATTACTGGAATGTCAGAAAGTAGCTATCAAAAATGTGACATGTAAGTAAGTAAAGGTCAAATATCGAAAATGTGATGGTTTTGTGGTAATCTGGTGAATCTATTTTTGAACCAAGGAGAAAATCGCATCCCTCTAAAAGCCCAAAGAGCAACCCGCATGTAAAATTTTGAATCTTTTCCCTTCACTAGTTTTTTTAGGAGGACAAGCTTTGATGTCATCATCATGGATCCACAATTTCACCATGGATCCGTTCTGGTATATCCATGTCTCATTCAAGAAAATGAAAAGTAAATCTTCACCACAATCACGCAATTGGAGATAGGTACCGCCTTAGAAATTTGATTCTGGCAGCTATAACGTGTTTAAAATGTGAAAAACTTCGCCTTCGGAAACCTAAATTTATACGTGTATTATGTACAATTATTTTCAAAGCCAAGTGTTTTACCTCTTACAAAACAATAACGATTATATAAAACTTAAAAACCAATTGTAGAACGGAACCAACAAAGCATGTAGGTATATAAATCTGCGCAGTCGTCTTTCTGATTCTGATTATAATATTAACGGCACAAGCGCCGCTGTATCTGTATTATTTTAAAATTCGAAAAACACTCGACAACACTAGCGAACTTTACGGAGAATATTTCTGCCACCAGTTTAACTGTTTTCGTTTTACCCAATTTTTTGAAAACCACGAAATATTTCTTGTTTCTTTTCCTTTAAAATGAGCTTTCTCGTGATTACTTTTATGGAAACTGTTTCCACGCTGAATTTAAGGATTTTCTAGAAACGAAGCGTGTTGAAATTAGAAAAACTTCGTTTTTTTCCACAAAATTCAGATTTGACATTTGAATTAGAAAATTAGACAGTTGATGCCAATCTTAAATTTCTAGTGATCTTAAGATTGCAACTTAACCACAGAAAAGTTTCTGTCAGTTACTTCTACCGAACGTGAATGCTTATTAGTGCTTATGGTCACTAATTAATAATCTATATTTCGATTTATATTTCTTCATAAGTTTATAATGTATAAAAAAAAGTGTGGAAAAAAATATAATGGTTTCATGGGTTTGACTTCTCCAGCCCCCACGACTATGAACAAAGAACTTCTTCAACTAATATCGTTAAAGATAAGCCAGTTATATGTATTTAGGGCAAAAGGGGTATTCTAGTCTGTAACTTAGGAGAAGCGTACCAACCAAATACACTAAGCATTTAAGTCTGAGATGCTGTCATAAATTTGTATTTAATAAATTAGATTATTCGTTGACATGGGTAGTGTGAGAAAGTTATAAAACCACTATATTTTGTGCCACCCTACGTTGGTAAATTCAGAGCTGAAAACGCAAACGCAGTTCTCATCAAATATCATCGTTGAAACTACAACTACATTTGAAAACGAACAAAATCTGCTTGAAAGTTCAAAAAAGTGCTAAATTGCAGTGTCAAGAGCAAATTTATGACTTGCATGTGTTCTTGACGTTTCAAGAAAGTTTTGATGAAAATAACAGAAAGAATGTATCTACATGAAGTTGTATCACCATCAGTGGTATCAACATTTTTTTGGTCGTACACTTTGGTCTTGTATTAAATTATTTCAGAATAATGTCACACTTTTCGGGTGCTTAAAATATAGATCAATAATAAGTCTGTTTAATTCGTTACAATAAAAATATTTTATATTTGAATTATTGCAGCATCCTTTGAAAAATATGCATAAACCTAGGGTATATTATATACACTTTATTGAACGTTATAAACCATATAGCAGTATGCAGGGTGAGTACTAAGCGCACGGTCCTTGATGTTCCATTAATTCATTCAAGAAAATTATTAATTAAATTAAAAAAAGTAAAACTAAAGTTAAACTAAACTTACACAGTTCTTTAATAAAAGTAGCATACAGTAAAATTATTTTCGACTATATAGAGTGTTTTGTTTTTGAGGCAAAGTACATAATTCAGTTTTTTTTAAACAGAACACCTTTATATTTTTATATATTCTCATTGATCTTTTCTTATAATTTGTGGTGAGATAAACACAGGTACGTGTTTCATTGTGGTGTCCTTTAAATAAAATTTTAATATATAGGGTATTTATAAAAAAATCTAAAACATTATAATTAATTGTTTAAATGTCTGTAGGTAAGCGAAATAAAGTGTTGCTGCTACAGTGGAAACCGAACCACACGTTTCCCGCTTGCCGGGCTCTCTGGTGTCCTGACCTAAGGCTAGACTACAGAGCGGCTTATCTTTCTTCGCTTACTACTACTTATTATTGTGTCGCCACATATCGATATTTAAACTTTTTTATTTTATTAGTGCATCTTACTCTATTTTTTGTTCTCTTTTTTCGTTATGTCGGTGTGTCTTTAAAAAAGTAAAAAATCGCAATAACTATCAACTTTAAATACAAACAAACAGAATTAATATTGTAATATAATTAATAAAATAGAGGTGCTTTATTTGAAAAAACTGAAATATCGATATTTGAAAATTATAATATTATATATTATTATGTACACTCTGTATAATACGACCCACTTTTATTTAGACCACAACAGAGCGGGTACTTTTTCTTTCTCTCCACAAAATATTGTAACACAAATTTTAAAATAATCTTATTGCGATTTTTTGTAAACCTTCCCACTGCTAACCAATTTTAAGAGAGTTGGTCGAAGGTTATTTCGACAGAAATTCCCTGAAATACGATAAAAAAATCTAGTTTTTTCGAAAAATTATAAAATTTGATTATGCGAATTAATTTTTGTGAGTCGCCCTGCATAAGGCTTTTAATGCAATGATAAACCACAAGTACAGACTCATCATATTTTGCACATTTTGGGTAGGATTTATTCGACAAAATTTTGAGATGACGTCATCAATTTTTTGGGAGGGTATAAACGAATAATTTTTGCTTAACGATTTACCATGATTACTATAAATTTAAAATATTCACAAGATTTCAGAGCAATCGGTTTTGCAGTTTCAAAGTTATATTGTAAAATATGTATTGTTATTCAGTTTTGATTTTTTTCCAAAAATTCCGGATTTTTAGGATGAAAATTCTACACGAATTCACACACCACAAGTGGAGGAATATCTTATTTTATATTATTCCTAATATACATACACAATGTGACAACAATCGCTCCAGTAGTTTCGAAGATTACTTGTCTAATAAAAATGGATACAGATCCCAGACAGACAGATAGACAAATAGACAGATAGACGGAAACATGAGACTCCTTTTTTCGTACTCTAGACTAGAGGTCATGTCGAGAAAATATGAAAGTGGCAATTTGGCCGATGGACTTGATCCTTAGCTTACGCTCGAGAAGTAAAAATTGGAATAACATGGCAACGTCGCAATAGAAAAAAAAATGATTATAAGTCTAAGAAGAGGTCAATTAGAATATGTACAAATACATAGGATGTCCCATTTGAAAAATTAAGTTATGTATTACGCCTTAAAAATAGAAAACTCTGTATAATTCAAAGTAATTTGATTGCATGTCCCACAATACCAGAACCGTACAACTTTCGTCTTTAACTTTTTTTCAATTTCTAATACCCAAGTAATGAAATGACGGTTTTGATATATTGTCTTTGCCACTTTTATTTAAACACTACCTGTTGATTTTGCTTAAAATTTAGCAATTGGTAACAGCTTTCGGTTTATTGTCAAACGGTTAGAAAATTGTATGATTATGAACTTTGGCAAATTTATGATCAACAAGTGATGTTTCAATAGAAATGGCAAAGCATATGTAGTAAGTATATGTCTTATTGTCATTATGACGTTTGAAGTTTAAAAAATGTATCACTTCGTATCGAGCCTCAGCGTCAAAAATAGCAATTAAAACCATATTATAATGTTTAAAGAATGTTTTACACTTTATAATAGTTTACACTTAAATTGTCAAAATTTTGAAATTTTAGCCACTCCAACGACGGTAGAATTCGTTTTTCACAAAGTTTATTATACAGTAGAATTCCTCTAATTTTGGCAAAGTGTAACACCATATGTTTCTGTTTCTGTCTTCCTCCTTGCCAAAATTAAAAGAATTCTACTATATCTATTATAATACTATCGAGAGAGCAATAAAAAGATGATCAAAGTCAGCCACGGATTTTTGAAGATTTGTCCTTGATAGAATTTTGTCTTGTCAATTTGAAAGTTTCAATTGAAAGTGGAACGATCAAAGACAAACTTTCAAAAATCCATGGATATCTTCGATCGTATTTTTTATTGCTCTCTAGTATTAATATGGTAGAATTAAGTGTCAAAATAGTATGACACAAGTAAAGAATAAAAAATACCGAAAGCTGTGTATACAAGTTTAACTTAAAACGTACAAAAGCAGTGTCAAATGTGACACACATTACATTAAGCACTAATTAAAAATTGAATTCACACATTTATTAAGAACTAGTTTCAACAGGTTTCAACTTTCAATGCTTCCATACAAAAGATTCGAATTTTGCGGCCATAAATTTTGCGATAACTAATTTTTAAGATTAATTTAATAAAATTAATTAAATTCAATTAATCCATTAATAAAAACAGAAAAGTTATAGAAATTATTCATAAACCAATATATAAAAACTTGAGGATACCACAACAAGCATTCATTGAAAAAGCAACTGATTTAACATCTGACTTAATAACAAGTACAGGGTGATTAAAAAATTTTCAGATTAGAGTGAGCTATGGAAATATATTTCATTTCTTTTAATTAAACCTTATACCTTACAGGACTGATTATTTGACTGAATTGTGATTAAATTCGGGCCTCTGAGTAATTAGCTTAGAGCTATTATTAAATTTTGTGGATGACTTTAAAATTTGAGCACGCTTCTCATTAGCTGTCATGCTGTTACATAAGAAAATGTCATCTTATGCAAATAAAAGAGGTGTAAGTCCACCACGATATTTTTCTGACATGTATACATGACAGTATTCCGAAAAAAGAATGACGTTTTAAATTCGTTTTCGGTAGCACTATTCTGGATAATGATATGGAAAAGAAAAAATTAAACCAGAAAAAACGGAGTAAATCGAAGAAACCCGGCTTTCTGAAAAACTTTTTTATGTGTATTTTGAAAAATGACGAAGAAGAAGATACAAATCCACGTAATCAGACAAATGTGAGTTTCAAACCGTCTAAAATAATGCCTGCTAAACGTGAAGTATCCGTTACTTTCTCAACCACTTCTTCATATTACCTTATGCAACCGGTGTTAGCTAAATTAGAGAATATGTCACCGAACAACGCACTATTGTCTCAAGCTTATTCAGAAAAATTCGAAAGTAGTTCAATCGAACAGGAAGAAACTCTTCCGCCGAAACCTGAGGAGCTGCGTAAAGAAGTTGAGAAAGAACAGAAAGACCAGTTAGTTAGATCAATACTCAGTAAGTACTTACAAATGAAAAGAGAAGACATGTTGAATAAAATACCAGAAACTGAAAACGAAAATCAAGAAAGTATGAACTCGCCTCAAAGTCAAAAAGGCGATTTTCTAAACGTCGATTGCTTTGCAAGCGATAGCTCAGATACAATATTGTTGGAGAATGCCGTAAGTAACCAGGAGTTAGATATAAAGAACCAAAGACCAAAAACAGAATTTCCGACAAAGAGCAGAAGCGCTCCAACGAATAGTACAGCTCACGATAGCCTCGCCGACATTTGCTTTAAAATGAGTCGTTACAAACAGCAAGAAAATAAGTCTGACAGTTACGTAACTTGTTGCAGTGAAGAAACTACCAAAGACAATGCCACAACGTCGAAAAAGAAATTGGAACTTATATTTAACCCATCATCCGAAGAAAACTCGTCGTGTCTAGAAGACAATTCTTCGTTTTCGTTACAGTACGAAATAAGCTGCGAAAGAACGCCTGTGGCAACAGGTATTCTAAGAGCTGATAGTGTAGTAAGTTTATGACTCTGTGACAGTTGTAGATGTGAGTCATTTGGTGGATTATTCTTGCAGTTGCAACATAACGGAAACGAAAAAACTTATAATTTCGTGACGAAGCATTCAAGAGGAACGAAGATTGCCTCTCCAGAGTTATACTTAAATCCACCTCCATACGTGAAAGGTGAAATCGATGGACTAAATGGATCTAGTTCATCACTTAAATGGAAATTAATTATTTCGCATCATGGACGAGGAGGTAATGGTGAATAACAATGCCAGGAATGTTAATTCATTATTTTTTAACTTCAGATTTTCGTTAATTAACAAGCATCAGACGAAAAGTGATCTCTTTATTTGAGCTTAATAAATTCACTCTTCTTGACATGATTAATAAATTTGTGTATCAGTAGCTTTAGACGATCTTTGTGGTCGATCTGTGTGTTTATTTTCGGGAATTGTGCGAATTTGTAGCGGCGGCAGGGATTGAGATGTCAACACAAAGTTGTATTCTTGATCTTCGTTAAATATGAAGAAGTGGTTGGGGACGCTGGGAACGCACTGACGTAATATTTGAACGAAGATAAAGATAACTACCACTGCTAGGAAGGTTCCATAGATTATTATGAACAACATGTTGTCTTGAATGTGGAGATCTAAAACGATATTGAGACTTTTCGGGTCAATTTGTCATCGTCTCAGTTTACTGGTGCAATATTCGTCACCCTGATTAGGTGTACCACAGTTGTTATTTCCATCACATTCGAGAAATTTATCAATGCAAAAAGTCTCCCCTTTCAGTACACAATAAATCTCGTTTTTGGTGCAGTTTCCATAATTGCTAAGGTCTTAAACGAAAAATAAACGTGGAAAATTCGTGAACAACGAACGTCACCTACGAAACTGAAAAAGTTAGAAATAAAAGTTTACATTTGGCAGAAGTGGCAATCATTTTGATGCTTCCAGCAAATTCCACGAAATTTATGTCCATGGTAAATCGTCTAGTGTGTATTAAATATGCATGAATTAGATGTTCATATTCATTTTTTGAATGATTAGCACATATATCTGCACTCACGTCTGCAAACTCTTTGCTATCGGACTTCTTAAAAATTAACACAATTTAAAAATGTTTTCCACAAAAAACAAATTACCAGAAGGATTCCACCACCACGGCAAAATGAACGAGTTTGTTGAAAATTAAATATTTCAACTACAAATGCAGTAATACATTTGTCTTTGCAATTATTCTCAGGATGTGGACCTACAACAAGAACTGAACAAGATCTGATTAAGGAAGCGACAGAATTTAGTAAAATTGTTCGAGAATCTGCTGATCCAGCACCATACGGTAAGTGGATGCTTGTGGTGTAGTTATTCTTGCACTTGTGACTTATATCTAAAAAAAGACATTTTCATGTTGTAGAGAATATGCTCATATTAACGTGCCAACAAGTAATTCTTTAGGGTTTTTGTTCGGGTGAAGACATCTTGCGCTACTGAAAAATACGATCTGTACAATTACCACTCCTGGAAAGATAGTCATATGTCAGTGAAAGGAAACGAGTATTTAATTTACAGTTGTCAACAAAAAAAAACTTCTGTCTTTTTTGACGCAATAACGTAACCAAAATTAGACGCAATTTAAATACAGTAAAATAATTTTGATCTTAAAGTTTTATTAATCAAACATATTTTTCCACCAGTACTATTATTAATTGTAAAAACGCACAACGCGCGGAACATATTTTCTTCAGGTCAAGGAAAACCATTAAGGAAAATGATCGTTAAAATTCCTCGACAAGTTTTCTTTCAATTGATCGATTTACTTCGATTATTTTAATAATAAATAAATCATACTAATGTGTCAACTTTATGAAACAATAATTTTAATAGCTGCCTTTATAGCAGGATACTCGTATAACAAAATGTGTTGACTCCTTAGGAAAATCCCGGAGTCTACATTGTGCTTTTCTTTTTGCCGAAATTGCAAAATTTGGGGTCAAAGTGAAAAGAATTGAACTTTTTAGTCAGAAAATTGTATATATTTACAATAACTCAGTAGAATCAAATTATGCTTTCTTGGCAGTGTCGAATTACGTTTTATAATGTTTTTCAGTTGTTGATTCAGCATTTCAATTTTGATTAGTCTGCACTTTTTGATATCAGATTTCGATTATCGATGTCATTTCACATTTCCATCTGAGGTTATAAAACTTTGAGTCCCTGTTCATTTACAACTACAAGCCACAAGTAGCATTTTTTTAATGACAAAACACAAATTTTTTCAAATACTCATGAAAATAGGTGCTTTTGACGTGTCTGCAATTTTATTCATCGTGCCTTTTGAGTTCATGGACTTAAATATCTAGTGGGAATGAAGATTGTTGAACTTATGTAGTGAGTTGATATCACTAGGTGCTGAGTTTGAATTTACATCGGAATTGGAATTCTATATTTCCGGGTAGTAGTACAATGAATTGGCAGAAAAAATCTGAAGCGTCTTCGTGTTACATGCGTTTTCATAGGAAATGGAATTTTTCATTACATTGTTGCACTACAATCATATCAAAAGTTGTTTTCATTTCCAAAGAAACTGTAGCCAAGATTGTGTTATTCCTAAATAGATTAAACAATTAAACTGGTAAGTTAAAAATTAGCAAGAACTTTGTATTATAATTCCCTGGAACATTAATCACCTATCGGTTAAAACAATTTGATATCTGCCTGTTGTTATCTGGCGGCGGAAGATAACGCATTCCTCGTGAATTATGAAAAAATTCTTCCACGTAGTCTGGTAGAGTCTTCTAGGGCCACAATTTAAAATTATATTCAAATTATAGGCTGCTTTGTTTAGAACTTACCCACCACAGTTACATTTTTGTAAACATAACACCCAGTTTACAGATTGAGGTTCCTTGACAGAAAAAAATGCTATCACATATTTACAAAAGTTTTTTTTTAACTCCAGACTTCGATCTTTAAAAATGCTGGAGTTGTGAATTTTTAAATATGACTATTTTTTCTATCAAAATGAAAATCTTGAAAACTGTTGTGTTTTTTGTTTATAAGGAATCTAACTTTGTAAAATATATAGGCTGATTCATTTAAAAAAAATAGAAACAATAATAATAATAATACATTTCAATATTTTACCTAAATTAAATAAAAAAATTAACACAAATACAAAATGAATAAATAAAATATTTGATGTTGTCTACATTTCTTTGTATTTAGCATGTAAATTAAGCAGAATGGTGGTTAGACCTGGCTGTTTCACAGTGATTAATGTTTGGATGAGGAACCAAATTTAGAGTTGACCTAATATGAATATGTTAGCATCCCGTGCAATATTTTATCCAAAAACACAAGAGGATAATAATCTCTACTTTTGCTAAGCTGAACAAAGTTTACTTCTATAAAAGTTCATTGTGCGAATAATTTTGAAAAGGAAATATTCGATGTTTCTTAAAATACACATATTTGCATAGTTTTCGTTGCAGTGCTCGTTCAGTAGTGGGCAGGTACATACATGAATATCATAATATGGCTTTCACACAATGGAGCAATATTCTAACTTTGTAAAAATATATGCTGTTTCATTTGAAAAAATACAACTTATTTTTTTTTACATGTCATATAAAGTAATAGAACTTAATTCGTACTGTGAAATACTTTGGTTCATTTTTAATGAAGCTTTTGTGTGTCTGATTATGTACCTAATTAATGTGAAATAGTAAAGATGAACACAATCTTTTTAGCGAGGTCTGACATATTTAACATTCTATAACCAAACGTGATATTACGTTTTGTACGGCTAAGAGTCATGACACGGCATTTGCTTCTATTCATAGATAAAGAATTTAAACTACACAACTGTTATGTTGCATTTTTAACGCCATCGGCATATAGGAAAACGTGACATTCTCAACTTATGCACTTAATTATGTCGTTTATAAAAATTGTAAATATGTAATAAAGGACTTAGGTTTGACCCTGCTGTGCTCCAGAAAAAAACATTCGAGAACAAATGACTGAGTACTCAACATACTCTTTTTGAATTTTAAGTATAGAACTTAATTTTGTCGAGTGCTTCAGATAAATCACTACATATACCTAATGTCAGTTTGTTGTTTAACATCTAAACAATTTGAAACAAGCACTGCATATTCACAAAAAGCTTTATCTCAAGTCTTTGTATTGATGAGGCGTTTACTTGTTTAAACTCCATATCAATTTTAATAATAAAGTTAATACTTTAAAGAGTTTAAATGATTGCATTAGTAGACATACTAAAATATCATCCACATACCTGACGCAGTAAATACAGTGTTTGAATACTCTATGTCGAGAAATAGAGGTTTCTAATATGACCATAAATATTTCGGACAACAGAGGACTCAGGGGTTACCCATGGCTGGCCATCTCTTTGTCTGAAGAACTTATCACCGTTACCACTCAATTAAAAGTAATTTTGGGATAAGCAAATATCAAATAATAAAAGGATTTCGTTCATTGTAACCGGATTAGTGTTTTTGGAAAAAAGGTCTTCCTTTATTATCTTAATCACTTCATCAGGTAGAATATTAGTGAAAAGATTTGTCACGTTAAACGAAACTAATTTCCAGGTAAAAGGTAGAGTATTTATTGAAAAAATTTTGTTTATCAGTTTTTGTGAATCCTTACCCGAAAATATTGACTGAAACTTTAAATTATCTTTGAGGATACGTAGTGCTTTTGCTAGTGTATATGACACCAGGTTGTTAAATATTGTTTTTGTTTTTCTGTAAAAATTCCGTTGATCTTTTAAAACTGTTTTTAATTCATTAGTAAATTTTAAAGTTGGATTACTTCGTAACTGTTCAAAGTTGTTGCTATTGAGGAAATTGAATTAATGAGAACGTCATTGTCATAAAAACGGAATACTTTTGGACAAACTATACTTAAATCTCGTTTTGCTTAGTGTCAGAAGTCCACTTTGATGAAGCATAAATTTGAGCAATTTATAAAAATTGAAAACTGGTTTGAAGGCACACGTATGTTCTAAGTGACGAAAATAAAAAGTAATCTCATTGTCGACCATGCATGAAAGTTCGTCTTTGATTTTTAGAAGAACGAGAGTGTGTCCAGAATTCTAAGAATTTTATAGACTCCCACAGTTAATTCTTTTTACAGTCCTGTCGTAAATTATATTGTACAGCTAAAGAGTCTGTCAGAGGAAAGCCGATGCACCGAGGCAGGTACAAATTTCTTGGAAAAGCTGCTATTCGAAAAGGGCTGTAAAACGAATTAAATCTGGGAGTCCATAAAATTCTTATAATTCTAGACAAACTTTAGACGGTATATTTTTCTAGAACTCTTGTGGGGAGTCTGCCTCATGCGTTTATTGACTTCCACTAATTTTTATGAGGGCTTAACTAAAGACCCTTGTAAACTTGCGACAGTTGAAATGGCTGGGAGGGGGTTTGTCGAAATGGACTGTAATGAAAATTTTACTGCCCTCTGTAGATGGCAGTAGATAGATACAGAGGGCGGGGTAAGTAAATAAGGGGTCAATTCCAAGTTGGTGGCGCAAGTCACTGGTGCAGCGCAACTTTATAATGCTAATTTGGGTATCAAATGCTGGTTGCTAGGGGTGACGGAATAAACAAGCGCAATTTTTCGAGATAAATTGCGCCAACTTGCACTGCCTACTAGAGGTGCCGCAACTCCATGGTGCAAATTTCAATGGAAAATTCGACACAACTGCGTTTGTTGATTCCGTCACCCCTAGCAACCAGCATTTGATACCCAAATTAGCATTATAAAGTTGCGCTGCACCAGTGACTTGCGCCACCAACTTGGAATTGGCCCCTAAGTTTACAACGGTGGGTGTAAATAGACATATGAGGCAGACTCTGCACAAGAGTTCTACTCAAAGTATATGATTTATTCAGTCACATACTTATAGGTCCTCGAGACCGATCTCCCGCTATTTAAGCGGTTCTTTCCGACATATCTCATTAGGAGGTTAATCCTGTCTGAGTACTTACTTGTAAAATCATCATCCCCTAAAAATCTCTATTCTAAGGATTGGAATGGTAATGTACTGGAAATTTATTCTTTTCTTCTTTGTGATTTTCAGTAAAGATTTGACCACAAAAAGCATTATCGGCTATTTAAATTATCTGGTTTTTCAAAAGTTTCTCTAGAAAGCTTGCAATTTGTTTTCAAAGGGGTTAATGGTTCACTATCGGTTATCCACTTGTTGTCATGTGATTTTATTATAATGAGTTAATGACCCACTCAAGTTTAGTTTGTTACAAAATAAAATTTCGATCTGGGCTTAACTTCAACTAAAATGATAATGTGACTATCGTTAAATACAAATTATGGTATGAAGTTTGCTTTGACTTTTTTTTAAATAGTTTATAACAACCCTTCAGCAATATAGCACTTGACTATTTTTGGGTTAGTTGTTCAAAAGGAGCAAGGATTTTGCGAATTGGATGTCGCTTACCATTCAACCTAAAATGTTAGGTCTGCTTCATAAAACCCTTGTTCTTTTCAGGCAAGAAATTCGGAGGAGTCAGGGCTGTAGATTATCATTGCCATAGTGAGTTTGTAAATGATTTAATTTTATTCGATTTGAGATTCTATTTAATGTTAGTTCATTTTTCTTTTTTCATCATTTTGAATCAGGTACATTTTGACTAAAATTTTCTTTCCTCGAAGAAAATAAAATTCGATGAAATTTTTGCTTTGAACGCACAGTTCTTAAAGCACTATGAGTGTGATATTGTATTACTTGTCAACACTGATAAACTTATCCCCACCAGAAATTTAGTGACGACATAATGAAACTGATGAAACGTATAAAAGGGACACTGAACAAGATGTTCACTTCAGTTTATCAACGGACGTTTGTGACAAAGGTTCGAATAAGTGATTAAGATAAGAATAAAATTTCCTTTGATAGTAATTTCTTCTAAGTTGGTAACTATAAAGAGTATTTAAAAGTCGGTGTAAATAATTTAAACAGTATGTACTTCTTTCGCCCTCTGATGTGTGCTCATAATAATCGGTGAGTGAGGTATTTTATCGTAAACATTTCGAATTGATTAACTTTGTGGTGAAGCTTAAATTAATTTCAATGTTTGAAATACCTACATTATATTACTAAACGAAACGCTACTGCGTCTCAGAAATGAAGTTCTCAGAAAACTTACTTATTCAAGCAAATGAGAGCTTTGAGCACCTGTTGTCCATTATTTTGCTGTTGACTTGGCTTTGAATTATTTATTTTAATGAATCAAATCGCAATCATCTGTTTTCTTTGTTAGTCATACATCAAGTTGAGCAATTTACTTAACAAAATTTTGAGATGACGTCATGAGTTTTTTGAGTGGGGATACAACCTCCATAGGGTAAATGAATAACTTTTGATTAACGATTTATTGATTACGACAACTTTGCAAGATTTCAGGGTATTCGTTTTTGTAATTTCAAAGTTAAAAAAAATGTTGTTATACCATTTTGATTTTTTTTCTCAAAAAATCTGGATGCTTAAGGTGAAAACTCTTAGTATCTTATTTTATAAAATTTAAAACAAATTTACTATTGTAGACTTGGAGATGACATCAATCCCATTGGTGGTGAGGATGATCACAGAAACTGGACCACTAGCTGTGACACACTCTTTCAAATAAAAAAAAATGGTTTTAATTAATTAATGTTTTCTTTCACAAATCAAATAATTTTAACAGTCACTGTTCTGTTTTTCAGATCAGGAACGTACATTTAAATTAATATCGATATTTAAAAAATAAATTAATTAAAACTTTGTTATGTCAAAGTCCAATTTCCTGTGGGTCGACCATACATACAAAATTTGGCAACAATCAGTTCGGTAGTTTCAAAGATTATCTGTCTAATAAAAATCGACATAAACAGACAGACAGACGACGGACAGTCGGAAACGGGGACCACTTTTTTCGTACATTAGGGGTCATGACACGTCGAGAAAACATGAAAGTAATAAATCTTGGCAACCTGTTTAAGAACTTACAAAATGAATTTATTTAAAATGTTGGTAAGACACTAACACGTATTGATTATACAGAACAGTGACTACAATTTATTTATTCACCCCCTTCTAAAAAGTTGATGGTGTTTCAAAAACTCAGGAAATCAGTGTTCATCAGTTTAAAAGTTTTTAAATGAAAGTTTATTAAAAATAGAGTTTGAAGAGAAATTATACTGATGTTTTAGTAACATACTTATACATAGTTTGTTAACTATTTTAAAAACATTGAAATCATTGAAAATAGACTTTATTGACGAATGCACTCTAATAAAATTTTTATATGCTAAGCTGGTTGTACTTCGTACGAGCGGGAAGTTCGGTGTAAATAATTTTAGATTAAATTTTCTGTTGTGTGCTAATAATTTTCACCACAGTGAACATAATGTCAGTGTTCCTTATTTTATTCACATTTATCATATCGCGTCTCTTTTTAAATTTAGGGTGACTGACACAGCGGAGAACCCAACCTTTTTTAATAAAATTGATTTTTGTTGGAAATCTATAATATTATGAATTCCGCTTTAAAGACATTAAAAATGATATTTATTACTTAAATTGAAATTCTGCTTTCTGACTAATCTGTATATTTTCTTGAAATTATACAATGACTAATAAAATTTGCAAAATTGATTAAAATTTAACCAATTGAAGTACGACTACCGCTGCGCCCTCTTCTGTTAAACGACGCAAGCACCACCTGAAAGTTAAAAACCAGCAGCGCCGTTCCCGTCAGTGCGATTTTGTCGGTAGTGAGTGTATCATGGCTTCGCACAATGGCAAGAATTTCATTAAATAAAATTTACGTCAAAAATCGCGCAAAAGGGACCAAAACATCAAAATTGAAAATCTGCATAACTTATACAAAGTGTTTATAGGTAAGATACGTGCTAATTTCCACTCCTTTCGAATTCAGACAAATTGTGCATTTAAGGACTTCCTTCCTGTGTGTGCCAAAGATACAAACTCGTGCTGCATTTTAATTGTCCACAACAACAACCCAGCCTTTGTCCCAAACCCAAAACCATGCACACACAACCGGCCAGCAAGTTATCGTTGTCCTAGAAACGCAGGGAACACCCCTCATTCTGTCAGATATTTTTGTTCCATGACATGCAAGTCATTAATTTAGTGCTTCGTCCTTAATTTTTAATTGGCTGGAAGTGTGAGGGAGGCTGCGACCGGTTCAATTGGGGTTTGCTCGCTGCTAACGCTGCCAGAGAACGCTTCTAACCCAGCACTTTTCAGGAGCAGTCGAGGGGCTGTCAGTATGATGGCCACGGCTGTCCAGAAGAACAGCCTCAAAGGACTCCCGAACGGCAACGGTCTAGTCCACCAGGCGCTCAACGGCTACGGAGGCGTGGAGCAGGTCTGCGCCCCGGTGCAGGAATGTGCCCCAGTCGAGGAGTCTTGCGTTGGCGAGGGCTCCGCGCTCCCACAGACTGAGCTCGTGCCCGTCAGTGACAGTGCGGCCGAAGAGCCTGAGATAGACATTATGATAAACAACGTGGTGTGCAGTTTCAGTGTTCGGTGCCACTTGAACTTGCGCGAAATCGCTCTGAACGGTATCAACGTGGAGTACCGCAAGGAAAACGGCAAGATTACCATGAAGCTACGCAGGCCCTACACCACGGCCAGCATCTGGTCCTCTGGCAAGGTCACGTGCACTGGAGCCACCAGCGAGTTACAGGCCAAAATCGCAGCGAGGAGGTTCGCAAGATGCTTGCAAAAGTTAGGCTTTAAAGTGCGGTTTAACAACTACCGGGTGGTTAACGTGTTGGGGACTTGCTCCATGCCTTTCGCTATCAAGATTAACTCGTTTTCGGAGAGGCATAAAGAGGCAGAGTAAGTTTAGCTGTGATGGTAAAACGTGGTCTTAGTTTATTTTTTTGCAGCTATGAACCTGAGTTGCATCCTGGAGTCACGTACAAACTACTGAGTCCCAAAGCCACCTTAAAGATATTCTCAACGGGCAGTGTTACTGTTACAGGTAATTGTACCATTACATACACATGGTTGATTGTGGTTTTTATGCTGTAGTTGTGATAAAAGTTATTTGTGTAAACTTTGAGGTTGAGGCCACGTCAGTTTATAAATTATGAATAGTTTTCACGTTTACACATGTTTCCTAAATATTGTCAATAAGTGTGGGTTATATCACGTGACCTTTGCCTGGGTTTTTTAGTAAAGTTTTGTGATTGTTATGTAATATCGCGTTAGATTTTGTGTTCCCGTTAACACTTAATAAGGCTTCACACTAGTAAGATTGTCATAGACTTACTAATTCTCACTGTTTTCAGAGCGTTTTATTAAATTTTACACATTTTATTATATTTTTTCTTTGATAAAATGAAAATGTTTACAAGTGGGGAGTTCCTCTGATTTATATACCCTATGATGTAATATTTATTTCAATAACAATATCCAGTTTAATATACAGGGCGCTTATATTACAACTAAATAACTATATAAATTTAAAAACAATAATAATAAACAAATGTACATTAGGTTTACAAAAATTTCAATTTCTTATCTGGATTTTTCAGATAAAAAATTTAAAAGTTGTAAAAATTGATCTAAATTTATTTAGAGAGAATTTTCCTCTCCCCTGAAGCACAACTAATTCTGCATTCATATCGGAGCGCATTCTTCACTAAAAATGTATTTAATCACATATTATAAGAGTTAATATTTTAACTTTACTATATGTAATGCCATAACCTTACTCATCAGTTATACGAATTTCAGGAAAATTAAATGGGTTGTTCTGAGAATAATAAAGTGAATATGAATGTTTTGTGAGAAAGGTGAAACCGTGAATTGGTTTATACGTTTGTCATTTTTGCATAGAATTTTCATATCATTCCTAAATAATTAAATCACATTCTGTGTTGCATGTTTCAAGTGGGATTATGAATTTATCAGCGTTTTATTGGGGACAAGTATATAAATTTTGATATGTGGATTGGAATACTAATTGTAAGAGTGTGTTTTCAGTATTTCGGAAAAATTTGATAAGCTGTGTTGGGTTTATTTAGTAAAATAAATTTATGTATTCATTAATTTCTTTTAAGTAATTAAAAAAAAACATTACCAATCACAAACATAACATCTTTGGACAAAATGTCTAACACATATTTAATACATTTTTACTTCGCAAGCGTAAGTAAGGAAGTATTTTAATAGGGTTCATCCGACTAATGACTATTTTTATGTTTTCTCGACGTTTCATAGCCCCTAGAGTACGAAAAAGTAGGTCTGGTCTGTGTGGAGTTTTATTAGACAATAGTCTCTAAAAGTACTGCACAGATTGTTGTAAAATTTTGTATGTATGTTAAGAATGTTCTGTAGATGGTAATCGTCCCCATGAACAATGGGTTAACGTCATTTCCAAAATTTTCAATACTAAATGTTATAAAATAAGATTGGTAAGGTTTTATCTTAGATATCCAGATTTTTGGGAAAGAAGTCAAAATTGTGTAACATTTTACAATTTCACTACCCAATTAAGTCATATTTGTTTAGTACATAGACGTAGAAGAGAATGGTCGCAATATCCATCCACCTTGGAAAATCGGCAATCTCCGAGGTTGTTGTCTAAAACTGTATTTTCTGTCTAATCCTTGGTCAACAGGTTCACTTCAAACAAGAAAATTTTATATTGAAGGCAATGAAAAGTATGCGAGAACGCAATTCCAACAATTTATAATGTGGCTGAATTAACGTCAAAATTACCGGTTCTTGGCATAAAAATGTTTATGAACTTCAGCAGACTATTTTGGAAAAAAAGCAACTTCATCAAAAAATTGCAAAATGAAAATTTAAAGTTACAAGAAAAAATAACGCGAAGGGTTGAAAAGAAATTAATATTTTGAAAGCAAACATTTCAAGTTTAGAAGGACAAGTAGTAAATTACAAAAATAAGGACGTTTATGCACAACTATGAAAAATTGGTCGAAGATTACTTGGACAGAACTTCCCTTAAAAGATTTGATTTTGAGAATTTTATTGTTTTTTATGGCAACCATTATAAGCTTCAATAAAAATATGCTTGAGTAAAGGTAAAGAAACGTGCTAAGCGTTTGTTGCAAGTGAGTTTTTCTATTACAGAATTTTGTGTTGATGTTATCCACATTTTTGCAAGGACGCATATATCAGTTTGGGTATGTGCATTGTAATACTAATAATAAAAGTATTGTATTATTATTGTTATTCTTGAATTTATAATCTATAAAATAATGAAACAATTTAATCACGTCTAATAACAGAGGTGCGACTGAACACTGAACTGAAAATAATTTATGATACTTGTAATTGAAGACAAACACTTATCAACCTGTAGACGTGAGAGTGAAACAGAAACTAAACTAATAAATATTTCCTACGAATTGCAATAGCCGGATCACAATGCCGACGGTCCAGACTTTTTTATTGCTCTGATTTCCGCTTATTCAATAAAACACTACATTTTATTTTGATTTTCGATGTTGTAATTCACATTTGGTTAATTATAACTTGTCTAGATCTGGAGGAAGCTCAGCATCCCCTCGCCTTCCCTTAACTGTTTAGGGGTTATGAAATATCGCGAAAATATGAAAGTACTAAATTGTCCGACGGACTCTATTACTTAGGTTATCCTCGATAAGAAAAACAACTTGAAAGTGTTTATGTTTATACATCGGAAAAATTTCGGAAAAATTTGACAAGCTGTGTTGGGTTTAATTAGTAAAATAAATTTATTTATTCGTTAATTTTTTTTAAACAATTAAAAAAGCATTACCAACTAGAAACATTTAAATCTTTTGACAAAATATGTAACATATATATTTAATACATTTTTACTTCCCAACCGAAAGCTAAGAAAGTATTTTAATAGGGTCCATCCGACCAATGGCTACTTTCATTTTTTCTCGACGTTGCATGGCCCCCAGAGTACGAAAAAGTAGGCCTTGTCTGTGTCGAGTTTTATTAATCTATGAAACTACTGCACGGATTGTTGTCAAATTTTGAATGTAAGTTAGGAATATTGTGTAGATGGTAAAACGCTAACCAATTTGTCTAATCATCTCCACCAACAATGACATGGCATCATTTCCAAAATTTTCAATTAATCAAAATTTATAAAATAAGATTGTTTAGTTTTCATTCTGGACATCCAGATTTTATGTAAAGAAATCAAAATTGTATAACAACATTTTACAATTTAACTACGAAATTGTAAAAACCAAGTACTCATAATACTCGTAACAATCAGCTTTCGTTTTCTTTTAACACAAATGCCGCCACTGGTGCTTGTTATCTCAACATGCTAATAGTCAAATTCTTTTAAAGTATAAACATAAACAATTGAAGTTAAGTATGTACTGAGAATACATTTTACACTTGTTTTTAATTTATGGAGGTTATTACAAAACAAAAATTTAGCGATTCGTATACCATCTGCACAATTGTGTTAAAATGCACCCAAAACATCACAGTAATCAGTGCAGTGGTTTTAAATATTATCTGTTGATGAAGGCTCGACAAACGGAAGCGAGAGGCGAGAGGCGAGAAAGTAAAAAGATATTTTTTAAAATGACCCGAGAAGTAAAATTCCTATAACTAAACAAAATATGTGTGGAAGTTTTGTGACAGTGACATAAAAATCGAAATTACATTTACATTACAATGAGAAGTTCCGTTTTCTGAAGAAGTTGTCCACGTTCAAGTGACATGAGATGGTGACTTAACTCTTTATTTGTTTTAAAAAAAGCGTTTTCCTATGGCAATTTTTAAATTTGCTGCACGATGACGCAATATAATCAACACAATTTATGTCACTATTACCAAATAATCTAAATTCACTCACACATGCTTGTGGATAATCCTTTTAAAATTTTTTGGTTTTGCAACAGAAATTTGACACAATTAACGTGTAAAGGACGAATCATTAAGTTCTCAGCACTTTAGATAATTTAGTGTTTATGGACATTAATTAATTTAACACAAGTGTGTTTACAAACAAGGTTTAAAGCCGAATCAATAAAATTAGCTTTAAATGTCTTACTGAAACCAAGATAGCCTCATTTTAGCTGTTTCGGCTTTTTAATAGTTTTTTAACCTAATTGGAATGAAAATGCCGCATTGTCCATTTTCAATAGCACTAACAAAACGACAACGCGTTAATATTGTTACGCCCTGGTTGCTCTGAAAATTGTTTACGATTTCTGCAACCATCGATAGATCGAATATGTGCTGCCACAGTCGTGCTATTTAAGTCTAAAGTGCTTCTGTAGACTGTAAGTAATTATATTACAATCACTTATCAGTGTCGTTTGATTTAACAAACTTAATTAATTGACTATCAACAGAGAATCATACCTTAAAACACATGAAAGCCTCGCTGTGTCCCCAATTCTCTTTGTGTACACGAAGGGTGTTTTATTTGTGTTTCTACTTGGTTCAGAACACACAACAATTGCCAACAGTCGCTTTTTCATAAACAAGCGAGCGCTGGCTATTTCAAAAGAAAATATCAACGTATGAATAATATCAGATTTAAAAGTGGCTTTTGATATCTTTCGTCTGTTGAGTATATTTGTTTGTGGAATTTGTATTATTAACGAAACAAATGTAAAAAATAATAATAATTAAAAACAAACTTAAACTTTGTTTTTTACAGGGCATTGTTTTCAGAAAAGAGCAAGTAATAAAGTAAAGATAAATAGTTTTTCAATATTGTTGTGATTAAAAAAAAACAAATTAATGTAATATTTTTAACTGATGTTTAGGTTTCAAATTTGTATTGGGTCACTGTGATAAATTAAGAATAAAAAAATCCCTTACGACGTGATAAAAATTAATCTATTATCTACTTATTAAATACGCCTTTGCGTTATGATGTCAGATGTGATATTTCGTTGTTTTATAATTTTTAAATTACTGAATTAAAAAAAAAACACATTTAATCATGTCTGAAAAATTCAGTACTTATGAAACAGCTGAAAAATA